CTTGTGAAATATAAGCAACTAGATGCACACACACTGTCCTGCAAACTTAAAGTTTATCATACTTTAAGTAATCTATCAATCAAAAGAAAAATGAAATATTGCATATTAATTCAAGAAATGATAATGACCCTGATCGCTGAGTGCCTCAGACAGTGCTGGGATAGTTAGCTGTAGAACAAACTAGATGGACTAATTTGATTAAGTACTATTCTATAAAACTGTTCTGTTTTCCTAAATCAACGATCAGAAGCAGCCTGAGTATTTCCCCAGCCAAACCGGTAAGTTGTTCACTAACTCACCCGTGCCGCCCTTATTTTCATGCATGACAGATTTGCAAGTTGATGTCAGTTCAGTAGTTTGTGAAATGCGCTCTCACACAGCACCATAACTCTACGCGCTCATCTAAACAAATGTTGTTTCCCCACAAACAAATTCCTGCTGCCACCCTCGTCTCCATTTCCCATTAGCATTAAACAAACTGGCGTGTGCTCCGCTGCTGCATTATCAGATAAACACCCGAGACTGAGGGTCTAATTTAGTGTCACGCTGCTCTTAGTATAGCTCCTCTGACACACACGTACAGAGTCCCATATTTGCTCCTTGAAAAAACACACGGAGAGACATGCAGCATGCACACTTCTGTTATTGAGACATTATAAATGACCCCATTAAAATTAATGACAAAAGTAATTAGAATTTAATTAGAAAATGAGCACTTTTTATGATCGTTACAATTAACCCCAGATGATGTTACAACTGACCCTCGTTGTGGAGCAGATCACACCAATGTGCAAGTCTGCTTTTCATACCAGTATGTTCCTCTTTGGAGGTTTCAAGGTCTGCAGTGAATCAGACAGATGGGAGTCCTGAAACGAAGAATCTTTGGGTGAAATTAAAATAATGAGATGTCAAAGCAAGGGTACTTTAGGACGCTTCAGGGGTCTTGCACCGTTTTTTAAGGACTTTAAGACCCTGACATAAAATTAAGATGTCAAAAGTATCAACATTTCATTGATAGAAGCTAGATTTCTGATGTTTTTCTTCAGCTACCAACAACCTATAACGGGGCTCAGCCTCATTGCTGCCTGTATTCCTGTTGTGAGAGCTCATCAAACTTCTATGTCAGACTCATCGATTGGCAGAGACTCAAATTCAGCTCCTTTGTACCTTAGTGGGCATTCAACGAAAATGTGATCATTATTATTTAATGAAGAATCCACATTATGTGAAGGTTCTGTCAGCTTAATAATACTTCTACTCATAATAATGAAGTCAGAGAGAATTCCCTTGAGCCGAAGGACAGAACGACACAGTGTTTAACTTGTCATATTACTCAGAAGTGAAGTCTAGTTAGTGCGTCCACATCTAGAGGGCGGTCAAATTAAGTTAAGTAAAAATGACTAAGATTATAAAAAGAATTTGAAAAGGAGGCTACTCTTATATTAAAGCAATATGAATAAAACTCTATTTAACTGTATTTTGAGCTACCTTCAAACGTGAATAATCAAACCATTTTAAGGGAACTCTTATATCCTACTGTTACAGTCTATGTTGTTCAGAGAAAAGTGAGCTTTAGTCAAATTTAAAGTCTAAGCTTGAGTGGTCCCCTCCCAGAGTTAGTGGGGAAATTTAATGTTGGATCAAAATCTAAGAGGCAACTCAAGAAAACTGTCAGCACTGTTGTCGGAGAGAAACACTGAGATTAAAATCTGCTGGAATTTATTTTCTTGCTTTGTTTGTTTATTGTCTGTATTATCAGTTCAGTTGTTAATGCTAAAAATTTTACACAATTTAAGATCTTATTTTTCCAGATTTGATTTTAAGATATTTGTAGACTTCTTACAGATCTGAAGAAACCCTGTTCCTAGACCGGACTTAAAGATTTATTGCACCCTGATAGGTGATCTTCATCCATACCTCCATGGCTGCCTTTTTAAAGCACATTCTAATTAGGATTTTTTAAGTGCTCCATACATAATGATAAAAAAGTACAGATTTAGGGGTCAGGTCTTTCTCTGAAATACTTTCATGAGAGTAATGGTTCAGCAAAGAGAAAGAGCAGAAAAATGTATGACCAGGCGCTGAAAAAGTGTTTTATCTGAGTGAAAATTTAGATGAAAGCAGGAAAAAGCTTTATATTCCAAGGAGAATTTATATGTCTGCGTGTGTGTATCTGTGTGTGTATCTGTGTCTGTGTGTGTGCTGTCATTTGTGATGGATGACTGACAGTCGGCATGGCAGCTCATCTCCTCTCAGGCGGCTGGCTGACAGAGAGAGATGTTACAGCGCAGAGACAGCAAAACCGCCACACAAGCAAGCAGGTGTCTATCACACACACACACACACACACACACACACACACACACACACACACACACACACACACACACACACACACGTATCCAGAGCATCCACCTGCATGCAACATCAACACTCCCCACCCCTTCCTTCCCAGCATTCACCTGCCTCCCATCTCACCGCCCTGCCACCTCTGTCCACCACCTCTGTCTATCCCCTGCATGTTCCCTGTAAGTGAGCTGTCTCTTTGTGGGCGGCGGCCTCCTCGTCTTCCTCGCGGCCTCAGACCTGAGCTCGTCAAACATCCCCCTCGCACCTCCCAATGCACCCCCCCCCCTCTGTACCGATCAATGGGAGCTCCATGAAGATTTCACACACCTCAGGCAGGCGTGAGGAGGAAGAGGAGGAGGAGGAGGAGTGTCCCGGTCGCCTGAGGGGGGGAGGAGAAATAGAGAGAATAAGGGGGGAGAGGGAGTGGGGAGAAAGGAGGGTGATTTAGGCTGTCAGGGCGCCAGTTTGGTGGAGAGATGGGGCTTCTCTTCCTGAGTCGGACAGGGCCAATAACTCATTAGAGAGAGAGAGAGAGAGAGCGAGAGAGATGTAGAGGTGAAGATGTGGCAGAGAGGAAGAGAAGAGGCAACAAAGGAAAGGAGATTTTTTGTTTCCTCTCTCCCCTCTTTTTCCTCCTCAACTCTTTCCTTCTCTTTCTCCTCCTTTTTATCCTTCCCTCCTCATCTCTCCCTCCTCTTTATTACCCCCCCCCCCCCAACATTTGCACACACGTTCCCCTCTCTCCCTCGGCAACTCCGGCTCTCCCCTCTCCTCCTCCTCCTCCTCCGCCTGCCCCCTCTCTCCTCCCTCCTTCCATCTGTCTTTCCTGCTGCAGTGCCCATGCTGCCAGGCAGTATAAATCACATCTCCGGGCTTGGCTGCAATGGGCCTGAAAATAAAAAGGCATAAAAGTGTCGGGATGAGCTACGGGCTGGGGGGGAGAATTCCTTTATGATGGGTCTAAATCCTCCTCCCCGCCCCATGTCCTCCCCAGTGCGCACACACACACACTCACAGATACACAAACTCACAGACACACACACTCAGACTGCTTGTAGACACATGCAAATGCACGACATACGCCTTTACTTTGAAATGATCCTACTAAAACTGAGGCACTTTGGGTCTCTCTCTTTCTTTATCTCTCTCCCTCATGGACACCTGTACAACCGTGCTCGCACACACTGACACACACACACACACTCTAATCCACATCATATTAAGCTCTTTGTTGGCTGTGGTCAGAATTGAGATGTCCTCCCTTGTGCTTTTTAAAGGAGCAGTTTGAGTAAATATGTTGACATCGACTGAGAGTTTTTTGTGGTGACCTTGAAAACAAACTTTTTTAAAATTCAGGTTATAATTTTCAGGCATTTATTTTAGGACAGGACAGTGGACAGAGCAGGAAACTGGGGGAGAAAGTGGGATGCAGGGTTAATTTTGGCAGCTGTTTGAGATTAAGTCATAGTTTCGGTCTTAAGATGAAAATGCTTATTAATTTTGATGACATTCAGGGGCGTCATGCCAACCACAACTTTGGCAGGGCTCAGTGTCGGTGGGGGCAGAAAACGCATGATGTAATTTTATGGCTTTTTTTAATATAAACATTTATCTTAAATATATCTTAGGAGTCTGAATCTAATTTCAGTGAAGAAAAATTGATCACGTTATTCATAACCATCCTGCAAAAATCTGCTTTTGTTGCAGTTATGTTTCACACCAGTATACTAAGTACTAGTACTACAGCCAAAGCTAACTGTGACTAAATCTTACTCTGACATATCATGAAAGCTACTACTTCATTTATTCGTCATTTCAGTTTGGAGGGACAGAATAACTCATAATTTTGTTTTTTACTCTTGTATCTGATCAGACCTGTTACATTTAAATGGAGTTTTCTGAAGTATAGAAAACAGGCTGAAATCCATATTTATGTTTTTATCACTAAACTAAAGCAAACAAAACCACCAGAGTCGGGATTGACCATTTTTGTAGTCTAATTATTAAGCCTGAAACTGATGTGAGAGGGTAGGTGTCAGTGGAAAAGGACATATTTTGCCATTTTCCACTTTATATTTTCACAGAAATGATACCGTATGTATGACTGTCTTAAGAGGACAGAAGAAGACAAAACTTAAGCGTGTAGGGGACCGAAAAACAGTTTTGTCCACAGGGGGCACCAAAATTGATCCCCACAGGAGCTTTAAGTTGGGTTCATCCTCATCATGTTTCACATTTATGTGATAAACACACGAGTGCAATCAATTTTTGTTATATAACAATATGATACAAGTGATTCTGTCAGGAGCTATTCAATATAATATAGGAGCTTTCTCATGGTTAAACCTCAATTTGATGTTAACACCATTATACATTTATTTCAATACGGTTTTAATATGATGTAGGTGACTGTATGTGTCAGTGTGTGTTAGCAGGGTTGTACTGGTGTCCAGGGAGAGAGAGAGAGACCCGAATATCTCAACTCACAGTAGCTAGCAAGACCACAGCTAGACCATTTGAGTGAGGGATGGATTAAATATTTTCCTAAAGTAGAACTTCACAGTGAGACACATCACCACCTGTGGCTTACGTGTCTGTATCTGTGTTCACCTCCTGTCTAAATGATCTCACACAGCAACTTATGAAAGGAACTAACTTCAGGGAGGGGGGTGGATGCTTTCTGGGGTATAATATGAAGCAAACGTGGAGGACTTCTATGGTCTTGAACCAGTTTTACTGATTAGAGGATGCAATAAAAATCATCATAAAATTGTAAAAAATTAAGGCATAAAAAAACAACATTTTTAAAATGTGGTGAGATATATACCACACTGTTACACTTGCTTGAATGGGCATGACCCACCTGGTCACATTTTAGTCATTTTTGCCCCCTTTTCAGTATCTGTTTTAACTATAGAAAACTCTGGATCTGGTTCTAGTCAGTAAAAAGTCATTACCATGAGTCAAAATGACGTCTCTCTTCAAGCACATGCATTTAGCTGAGGTTTCAATCTAAAAAGCACGACCTTACTCTTGTGACACTTTCACTTGTTACACTTGTAATACTTCTTGAGCTCAGTTGGATCATTCAACCCACCCTCCTCTATAATGTAGTGCTGCTGTGCTATTCTCTCTTATCTACTCAGGTAAGGACTGTATATTACACACAGATAAATGTGGTAACTTGAGGAATGATCCTTCGTCCACTATGAAGAAATATTGTGCTCTTTTGTGGCTGTATTTACTACTGTTGACTTTAGATAAGTGTGCCATGAACACACCTGTGTTGATAAAAGATTTTGTTTTACCCTTTTTTAAGAGTCCCAGACCGCTCCCGCAGTGTTAGGAGCGCTGCACAGACATTCAAATTACTGCAATCTGAACTGTATCGCCATCTTTTGACTAAAAGTTGATCAAAAATACAAAACATCTTACTTAATACACTGCCTAACGTACAGCTAAATTAGGATATGACAAGGCTTTGACATGGAGCTAATAATATAATAACATTGGAGAGAACAAGAATTATCAAATCGTAAAGTGACACTTTTACTGACATGCATCAGAAAAAAATCGTCAGTGATAATGTGAGAGAGACGCATGGAGACAGTGAGAATTAATACCTGCAGCACACCTGTCGTATACAAGCGATGAAATTAATGCTGCACCCCTAATTTATATCAGTCTGATACAGGACTGCATTGCTCTCGCCTTGACAGTGAGGCAAAATATCACAGGTTTAGATGTCTGATAGTCTTCCACTAACATTTTAGCCGTATTACATGTACTGACAAAAACATCATGCAACAAAATTTGAATCAAACCTGGACCACCCACTCAAGGACTACAGCCTCTGTGTGGGATGCGTAGCTCCAACACCAGACTAAACTGCCCTTTCCTTTCTCTCTTTCTTTTATTTTGCTTTTTGCTTTTTAAGAGCATGAAGAGGGTGAAAGATGGCAAGTTTGTCATCATGAAATTGTGAGCTATTCATTATAATGAATTCAAATGGGAAAGCAGGTAGCAAAGTAGATGAGACACTTTAATTTTTTACATTAACTAAGTTCTTGCTATCACTTCTATCCACTAAAGGACAGATAATGAGTTTCAAACATAATTTTAACTCCTGTCATTGCAAGAAAAATGTCCACCAGGCCTCCTAAAACAATGCAGAAACTAGAAATAGCAGCTGATAAACCCAAAATGCTTCTGCAGAACGGGTCTTTTACATTTCGTTTGCCTCAAATTATGATATTTGTTACCAAAATTGATCTACAAGGAACTCTTTAAAGGTTTATTTTAGTTTTAATGAGGGGCTGATGCAGCGAAGTCGTCCTTCTCCACTGTCTGAGATGGATTTCATAAAGGTTTTCACCCTGGATTATAGCACAAAGGAGAGTCACTTCCCTGTGTATAATGGTAATTGTGGACAATTTATGACCCCTCTAGTCTCCATTTATGTATCGTTCTGAGTAAATAAACCAATAAAAAATGATTGAGGTGGCCTATAACATATTGAAATGAGTGTGCTGGCAGAGATGCATTGTAAAGGTTGTCTAAATGATTATGGGAATGAAGATGGAGATGAGTGAGAGCACAGCGAATGGGCGACTCCATCACCTGCAAAAATCAACCTATGGCTCTACGTTCTCCTTTAATCTACGTCCCAATGTGCACTTTGTCAATTCTATTAGATCACGCTGTGTGCGGTACGAGCACATGCACGCACACACGCATACACACATGTATAGTGATGATGATAATGGTGAGCACCTCCCCAGGTGAAGCCTATTCAGTCACAGTGGGAGCCATCTCAGACCTAATTATGCTTGGTTTGGCGTTTTAACTGTATTGATCAAAACCCTGAAACAAACGAGAAATGCTTATCAAGCGAGAAAAGAGGAGCCCTCAGGAGTTTATATATGTGTGTGTGTGTGTGTGTGTGTGTGTGTGAGTGTGCATGACTCCCCTGGAGTGAGTGAGAGTGATGGCATAGGTCTAAGAGGTGGTGAGATATTGGTGGCTGTAAAAAATTGCAATTCTGTGCTTATGAGTTATTAATTACAGCCTCCCCTCCTTCACCTCTTTTTACCAGCTATTAGAAATACTGCTGTGCACACACACACACACACGCACAAAACCACCTACTGCTACACATATATGCAAGCCATACACACACACACACACCCATACAGGATCGTGCACACTCACACACACACAAATTAGCTCGTCCACGCCTGCACTAAGTGTACAATACTGTGCTCTGATGAGCAAGCTCCCGTCGACCTTGGAACTCTCGGGAAAGACAATGCAAGGGGAGCCGTGCGGCGTAAAAGGGGAGGAGGAGGCGGAGGTGGGGGTTTGGGTGGTGGGAGTAGATAAGGTGGAGGGAGGGATGAAGAGAGAGAGACAATAGATGAGAGAAAGAAGAAGAAGAAGAGAGAGAAAGAGGAAGAGTGAATGTGCTGCTCAGTGTAGGGCAGCAGGGCAGTGCTCCCTCCCTCCTCTCCTCCTCAGCTCATCTTGAATGCAAATGTGGTTTCTATACGGTTCCTTTGTGCCGCTTCTAACTGCTCCAGAGAGAAGCAATTACAACTGCTCCATTCACTCAGAGAGAGGGAGACACGCACGGATAGAGGAGGGTAATTAATAAAGAGATAGGAGGAGGAGAGGAGGTGAACACGTACCTGTGGAGGATCTGTATTGATCTTGAAGGGGGCTTTGTTATTGACACACACTTACATTGAAGCCAAAGCTGACCTGGCCTGTGGTTTCTGACGGCTATAACTCTATAAAAGGTCAAAGGTCATTGGAATTACATCAGATGTGTTATTGAGTGTGTGTGTGTATTCCTGGAAGCCCTGAGAGGACATGCATCCATACATTTGTTTTCTCTAAATCCTAGTGATGACGAGTCCATTTCTGGTTGATGTCTGAGGATCTCAACTACCTTTTCAACTCATCTAAAGATACCAAAGCTCATTCTCGTTTAGTGATAGAAAACAAAACATTAGAGTGTTCACTGTGATAGGTTAGAACATAGAAATGTACACATAGATGCCACGTTGGTTAGCCTGTTGCTGCAGCTTCATGTGGGTAAATATGTTTGTTTCTGCTTTTGCAACTCTAGGGAAACAAGTTCTGATCATCGGAGGAAGCCTCAGGAAACCATCTGAAAATGACAACTTATCACAGTAAAATGGAGCAAATGTAACGTATGTGTGCATGTCCTTTTAGAGCCACCACACAGTAAATATTCTACATTTATCTCTGTGTTCGTACCTCCTCAATCAATGCCTTGGTACACCTGCAGCCTCACACTGAATCAAAAAGTCCTCCATCTAAATATGACATCATCCTCCATCTCCATCATCCGTCTCTGTCGTTTCAGGGGACAGATACTTGCAGTGCCACTATCATATCCCGTTTCAGTCACAGTGGCCGGGCGGCGCTGCGAGGTATGGTAAGAGTTTTTATGGCAGTCATTTGGGCTGCTAATATGTCATCTCCATTAGCCGACTTTTAACACTCGCAGATAGATGGCCCTGTGACATTTATCTGCGAAGGGGTCGTATTTTAGCAGTTAAATGGCCGGCGATGTGCGGGGGTGCGTGCAAAATGAGTGTGTGTGTTTTAGGCATGTGGGGCTGGAGGGGGGGGAAGAGGAGAGAGAGAGATGCATCGACTTTTAATGATACTTTATGCAATAGCACTTTAGAGGTAATAATCACAAATACAATGCATGTAGTCACCTTTGACCCTTGTAAATGAGAGTGCAGAAAGAAGACAGGGAGCGGCTGCGGACTGGGGCCTTTGTCCTCAAGAGCCGAACAGCTGAGGTAGACTGCAGTCTGCAGCATCAGCAAGAAAAAACATCCAAGTGCAGAAGCGGACGGTTAATTAACATAGCAGCCTTTAGAGACATGATGAGAGGTTGAGAGAGAAAATGAGAGGAAGAGTGATGTAAAGACACTATGAGTGCAAAAATAAAGGGCAGGGTGGGAGATATGCAGGCTAATTGCTCTTATGGATTTTGCCATTGTTGGCTTTTGTGGGGTCAGAGAGGTGAAGCCATTTCCTGCAGCGGCTTCAGGTGAAAGTCTAAATGAGATAATAATTTAGATCCATAAACTAATACTAATATTGACACACACCACATATGTTCGAAAGCATTAGGAAGATTCTGACCGTAAAATAGCTGTAAATATGATCTACCATCTTGTCACTTCACTTCTCACATACACTGGAGCCTTTTCCACCTCGCTCATAAAAAACCACCATCCTCTAACGCCGCCTCAAAAGACAGAAAAGATGTTCTGTGTCATTTTATGTGTCGCCCACAGGAGCTCAGTCACCTGTCCTAGCGCTCTGAAGTTGACTAATGTGACAGAAAATTAACAATTAAAAATTTCACATGGGCTCAGAACCACAGCAACGTGGCGTGTTCACAACTCAGTGGACACCCTAATTGCTTTGAAATACAATTGGGTTTGGGCCATGTTTTGTGTTTTGGAGGTATGAAGCGCATCAATGCACACTGGAAATTGAGTTATAAATTACTGAGATGAAATAGACATGTACCGTGAATACTCAATATCCAAATGCTAGATGTTCTCACCATGGAAAAAAAAAAAAGCAGACGTGTGCGCACACATGCACACGCACAGACACAAGATGCCCCCCGTTTGCAGTTGCATTTCATTTTGTCAGAAAATTGACTTGCTCTGAACCAAACCCTGACTGTGTGTGTGTGCATGTGTGTGTCACGCTGTATTCCTGTCATGGGCTTCTCTGATAAGGTCAACCTTAACAGCAAACAGAGATGGAGAGCACCAACCACAAACCAGAGGGACTCAGGAAATGACAGTAGATGAGGAAAAGAGAAAATGTTCATTCATCCACAGCTTTTCCAGCAGAGTGTGTATAAACATGTGTGTATGTACGTGTCCATGTCTGTGTCTGTGTTCGCCGTATGAGTACAGCTCTGAGGCTGCTGTGTGAAGTCACTGACAGCTTCATTATGGCCCGTACGCACAGGGGAGACAGCACCATCCAGGGGAAGGAGAGAAGAGGACAGAGACACAGGACAGGCCAGGTTTACTGTGGTGCCGACCCACATCAACTCAGCTGTTGAAAGAGGGGGGTTCGAGGAGGGGGGCACTGCTGTCTCCTTTAATGAGCCTTTGCTTCTTTCATCAGCTTTCAATTTATAGGGCTGTCCAGCACTCCTGCACAGCTTCTCATCCAGCCACATCCCTCTAACGCGCACACACACACACACACACACATGGTTTGCTGTCTTATTTCTTGCAGGTTGATTCCCAAGAGGCGTCTGTAATAGTTAAATTAATTTGTCATCTTACTTTAATTAGACCCTCTCACCTGGGAAAGTAGTGACAAGGGGGCTGAAATGTGACCTGGGTTTCTTCTTGTCAAATTACAACACTGACAGTTATTCTATAGAACATGCACACACTCGGTGGATCTACGAACACCCATACTTCAAGTAGAAGAGATTCCGCTGGAAAAGGACACACATCTGGATAATGTTACAGCAACTGCGGTTTAACTACACCCTGTTGCCCACTCAGTAGACACGTTTGGTCTGGCGTAACAGCCCTGCAGTAAATTTTAATGAAGGTTATTAATCAGCTTAGTTTTAAATGAAAGTGTGGAGCAACTTTGAAATTTTCAGACAGGGTCTTATTTGAACAAAGGCGCACTGTAAAAATCCTTCATAACAGTTTATGAAAAAAAAATGAACTTAGAACCTCATTACAGGTGGGAATTATTGTTATTGAATTATAAGCAGCACACTCTGCATATGCTAAGGTAAAGATCTTGTGAGTTTTACTGTCTGCACACAACACGACTGCACATGGGACACCAATACAAGAGGGTGGCATCATCTGAGAATCGAACATTCAAAGAAACTCTAGACTTCTGAAAAAGTCAAGAATATCAAACTATGTCAGTTTTTAACCCTGTAGAGCTTAATAACAGGGTGATATGGAATTTAAATGCACCTTGGTTTGCACTGTTAAATGTTTCCACACTTTGACAATGAGCTCTTATGAAGATCATAAATGATGCACAATCAGCTATGAAAGTTTGTATCACCTCTAGCAGTACTACAGACCTTCATTTCTCTTCTGCATGCACTCATTCCCATGATGTCTACACTCCCCCTACTGGGCTGAAGTGGAATTGCACCACTGTTGCACTGTATTCAACAGAACTTCTTCAGGAGCAGCTGAAGAAAAGTCATTTAAGTCTCCTTTTTCATTATAAAATGACCATTTATTCATCATTAACAAATCCCAAGTCACAAATGTTTTTCTAAAAAAATGGAATCACTCATTTAAAACATTCTTCCCCCCCCCACAGCACATATCCAAAGCACATAAAAATATCCTAAGTAAATACTTAAGAACTCTTTATAATAAATTTAAGTTTACTATACATTTAAAAAAAACAAAAAACTTTTTTTCTGGCACACTGACTTAAATAACCACAGGACTGGTTTAAGAGAAAAGCAAGAGCCAATAATTAAAACACATTTTCTTTACAATAACCCTGCTAAAGAAAGTAAAACCAAGCACTTTGTTCTTTGTGAGCGAATTAAGAGAAACAGGAGCTCTGCTGAGGGTCACAGGCTCATACATGGCTGAACAGACAGAGGGAGTGGTCAGGTAAAACTGCTGAGCTTCAGGACGAACTGTACGGGTTCTTGGACTGCGATAGACAGCTGCACAGCTCTGGGACTCTGTTAGAGGACTCGAAGAAGAGGAGGGGGCTTCCCCGCAGTGGTGTGTCCACACTCAGTCCCACACCTGAAGATGAAGAGCTGCTGAGGAAGGAAAAGATAGGGGGAGGGGGTCATTGTTAAAAGATAACTTTTTTTTTTTCCTAAAGTGAACCATCTGTCTGTTCTTTACCTTTCATAGTCAGAGTCACAGGAGGACGACTTCTCCTCTAGCCTGCTGACGTAGCCGCTGCTGCTGGTGCGTTGGATGGCTTCAGCCACTGTGTATCTGGTCTTACCACGTGCACACCTCTCCATCCTCCTGATGTTTAGGTCAGACTGAAGGAACAGATGGAGTCGACTGTCCGATAACAGCAGAGGCGCATGAAGAACACTGGAGATGAAAAGTGTTACACGACAGTGACACTTACCAGACAGAATAGTGTCTAACAAGGTCATCTGTAATTTGACTGATCTTACAATCATCACATCAATAAACGCTTTCAGGTGGAGTTTAAAAGGATACCACTAGGTGGCAATGCTTTTATTTGATTACTGTCGTTTTCTCAAGTGTACAGCCACTCACTATTCTAAGAACTCTTGTAGGCCCTGCATCCTGTGGGAGACCTGGTCCTTGTTCCTCAAGCTGATGAATGGGTTCCATGGTGGCAACTTGGGTAATTGTCTAAAATACACAGGGAAGAATATGCACTTTAAACATATTTAAAACAATATTAAACTACTGCATATCACAGAGGTAATGAATCTGAGGTAAGAGGAAAAAAAACTCAACATACAGGATGAGTGCATTCTGCTCCAGACAGTGACGAAGCCAAACAAACTCACTGTATCGCCGCCTTACGATTGAATTCTTTTTTCGAAAACACATGCTGTTCGTCTAAAAAGAGAAACATCAATTAATTGGACCCAAACTTTGAAGAAAAATATATTTCATAAAAAAAAAATTGGCAGGTAAGTCAGTGCTCACATGCACATAGATCTCGTAGTCGATGTGTGTGTGCCAGAAGTCATCTCTGACAAGCCTGGGGTCTCGGACACAAATGCTGATGAACTCCTGCAAGTGCAAAAATCAATGATTAGTGTTTACACAGATGCTTGAGTTTTTATTTTAAAAAACACAAAACAATAAACATTAGTATTTTCAAGTATTGACGTCTTCATTTTAGGATACCACGAGTTAATCTACACAGATGTCAAATCCAACAGGGAGGGATGCAGGTTTATCCCTTACCGTTGTGAGACCGTCCAGAATGTCCATACTCGTCACAGAACCTGCAATAAAGAGAGACAAACACATTCAGATGCAGATCCCACATCCCACAGCAATTTAAGTCCACCTGCCCATGTGACAGTACATGAGCTTTCTGATATTTTGAAATGAGGCTAGTTTTACAGGAATAACCATTTTAGCAGTCAAAGTCCACTTTTTTCACTGCTAGACCCGTTTTGCAATTACCTGGCTGGTGATTAATACTTTATGAACTCAAAAGTGCAGTAGTTGAGGGCTGATGTAGCATAAAAATGGGCAAGGATGGTGGACTTAGCCTGAGAAGGCTTAAAGAAAACCTTAAGAGGGACCAAAACATTTGCTGGCACACAGACCAGTCAGCTCCTTGACCGTTTTCTGAATTAATAAAGCTATTGTGCTAATGGACAACAGAAGGACTGCAGTATTTTCAGGACAAGAGAAAAAATCATCCAAAACATGAAATCTGTTGGATAAGTAAATGCAGTATCATAAAAGTTTGATACTCAAATGCCAGGACTGAAAAACTCCCGGGTGCCGCCAGGGATTCTGAGGTTACAAAAAGACATTATACAAAAAGGCATGACCACGTCACAAATCCAAATGTTTTAATTTTTGAAAGCCCTATATAGTGCCCTTGGTTATATACCATAATGAAATAGTGGCATTAATAAAAATAAACACTGAAGCATATTTCTACCCAAGTTCTGATTCAGTGACAGCCTTTCTATTCCAGCCAATCTCCCAATCTCAAGTAACAGACGCAGATAATGCAAGGGAAGCTAACAGCTAACTGAGGCTTCATCTCATTTATGAGAGGCCTGTGTAGGGCCAGTATGTTAAACATCTGCATCATCTTTGCAAATGCAGTATCCAAAACGCACTGTGTAGTCCTGATGCAAATATGAAATGAGATTTTCCTCATGCATAACTTGGACTGTAGTCAAGTAAATACGGCACATAAACAGTGTTGAGTCCTTTGCAGAGAGTTAAAGAAAAGTGTAACAGAACAAAACAAGTGATGGCAGAGAAGTGCTGCACAACAGACCTGTTTCAGTGTCTCAGGACAGCTTGTCAATAAAAAGGGAACAAACAACACAAAGTCCTTGAGAAAACTTTGAGTGACAGACAGTGGAGCAAACATCACTGACCTTTTGCAGAACATGAATGAAATGAAAACTACACAAAATAAATCCAACCTCTCTCAAGATGTGAATTGTGTCTTAGAAAGGTCTGAAACAACTCATCAACATGTGCAGAATCCAGGACAAGACCAGCACCCAGACAGCGTTTGAGATCTCAACTGAATTAGTTTTAGTTTTTTAGAGCTTACACAACAACATTACAAACAAATCATATGCCAAATAGGAGGTAGCTAACTAAAGATAATTTCCAGTGATTGCAGCAAGGGCTCTGCCGTGTGGACAAACTCCCAACAGAGAAAGGGTGATTCGGCTCTGTGTCCTCTGCAACACAGCCTTGCAACTCCACAGTATGAATAAGACTTTTGCTTCCTGATGAATCCTACCTTGTCGATCTTCACTGCTGGAGCAGTGGCCCGCAGTGGTGAGTGGAAAGCCACCACGAGCAGCTCAGCGGTGTGGCTCGAGGCTCGCGCTGCACTGGACTGAAGTTGAACTATTTCAAGCTAATGCGGTTTGCCAATCCAAACAGCTAACTGCTGAGTGTGACCTCTGCCTGCCTCATAGGTCACGCCTTCTCTGCTCAGGGAAAACCGTGTCGTAATTATAAAAAATACTTTGAATAAAATAACGTGTAAAAACCCACACCTTTCTTTTTTTTTTTTAACCGAGCCACACAAAAAGTCAAAGGCTCTCCCTCCAGAGAAAAAAAACGAGCAGTAGTTTGACTGTGCACCTGTGTGTGATTGTTTTAAAGGATGTAATCAGTTAAACTGTTTCACCCGGTAGGTGGAGGAGGCGGGGGGATAACAATAACGGGGAGCAATGTTCAGAGGAAGGCGCTCTATTATAAAAAAAAATACTAATACTTAAAAATATAGAATTTGTTTCTATACTCTATAATAGGAAGACCATATTTTAATTTCCGGAATCCAGGACACTCGATCTGGCAATGAGATACTCAAATGATACTCCAACCCAACTTTACTCTAAAGACCACTTACGATTTCAATACATTTAAAGTATGCCTCCTCTGAATGAATAGAAAATTGTTATATTACCAAATACTATCTAAAACTAAAGGCACACATTTAGGTAGGCTTCTAGGAGGTTACTCAACATGTTTTATTGTGACAAGTTTCAAAAATAACTAATGAAGTAACGTTAGAAATAATGCCTTCTCTGTATCAGAAGAAATAAATAAAATACCTTTGCTATATAAGCAATCCAACTTTAACAAAAAGAGTTCTCACAAACTTACAAAAACCAACTCACAAAAAATATACTATAGTGGCCCTATGACAAACAATGATAACCAGGATTTTCATCACTTAAAAACAACCAAGACAGCCAGGGCAAACACGAAAACAGGACATGTCTTAGGAAAACAGGACGTTTGGTCACCCTGGTCTATAACAATCAAACAGCTTAAAAAGTTCACCCCGATAAAGTTCAATTTGTTTCCAGCGGATGTTAGGCTCTATCAGGAAGTGGACAAAATCATTATTCACTGGCCATTACAAGCACTGAAAAATGTCTCATCTTTCGTATTTACTCAGTTTTTTAATTTTTAAAAATGAGTTTATGCAGAACAAGTACAAACACTATCATCTAAATCTAGTAAATCCAATACCCTGACTGAGGCCAGTGCTTAGAAAGTCTCAGACCTCAATATGCCTTTATTTTGGATTTAATGGATATAGGTCTTGTGTTGCAGACACTTTGGAGAACTCGACTGAAATATTTATCTAATTATTTGAGAAGAAATATCAAACTAGCTTAACCTAGTTTGCCCCTTTAAGCTTACAGTTAGCTTTAAGAAATTAATAACCATACTAACTTGACTATCCATTTCATATTGATTCTTGGTAGTTACCCACAACAATATCTACACACAACCACAGGTCTAAATGAGGCATTTCACAAAAGTCAACACTATGATAGCGCAACAATCTGTGTTTGCAGTCAATGTGTATTTGCCATTATACAACAGTTCCTTTGGAATCAAGTTATTTGATTGGATGCCACAAGTGCTGATAAAGACTACAACATCACCTGGACTTTTGCATGTGTATCTCTATATACTTGTGATCAACGAGAGACAACCTTTGTCTAGACCTCATAATCAAACATGCCAGCACAGCGAGGATCAACAGACTCTGATTTCTGCATGCCAAGTCAAAACATCAGGACAAATGCACATACAATAAAGTGTCCAGTCTGCAGTCATTTGTAGAAATACTAAGGTTGAGAGCTGGTGTCATGAATGAGTCTTTTTAATCAAATGGAAGTAAAACATCAAACATCATAAATCCTGGCAACTGTCTCATTGTTGAGTGAACATTATGAAGAACAAATAACCTATAAACCATGTCTCTTGCAGTTTCCTTTTCACATGCAAACATGAATCCTTAGCTCCTCAATTACTGAAGCACGACCCATGCACATCAGTAACAGTAAGTATAGCAGCAGGAAAAATCAGTGCAACCCACCAACCTGACACAGAGTAGGAATAAGTCTCTGACTATAATCAGCTCACATGTTAAGTGCACAGAGATTTCTGCAGCTATGCAGATTGACGTCTAGTGTTGAGGTACCTTTCTGACTTTGCACAGGTCCAGTAAGAATTTCCCATAGAGAAAATGAGGTTACTGCAAATGAAACAGTTAAGAAGCTCTGAGCCCAAAGCAGATTAAGGATAATCTGTGATGACTGTATTAATGTTCAATTAAACCACACAGGGTTTAAACAGTCCTAACTTAAGCATTCATTCAAGCTGCCTTGGCATGAGATATACTGCACATATTGACAGTGTTGTTTTCTGCTATCATTAACTTGTGTACTCTTGTACACAAAAGCATATGCAAACCATATGCAAAAAAATTAAAGGCATAACCAAACCAGACAGAATAAACATAATAAAGTTTAGATGTAAAAATGAAATATGAGAGCTCATACCTTTATCCCCAGATGGCAATTCCAGAATCGTCTGGCAGAGGAATGGAATGAAACACAACCCCTGTGACCTTTAATAAATACTCTTGTACCTTCAGTTGAACTCTTTGGGGAGGCAAAACTCGGCTCATTTGCATATAAAGGTCTCCCAATCTTTAGTCATGTCAGCAATGGGTCTTTAGTGTCTCCTATTCACTTTCAGCTATCATGTTTGGCTACAGGAGGAGAGTTTTCCTATGGGTTTGATCCTGTAGATAATCTGATTCCCTGGTTATGACTGATAAATGTGATAGAAAAAGTGCTGAGGAGAAAAAATAAACTAACTTTGGGCTCCAAAATCTGGACTACAGACAAAGCTATAGCGTTGTACAAACAAAGCTATAGATTGCCACCTCACAGTACAGTCTTGGATGTCCACACAAAGTCATTTTCCCATCCATGTTGAGATTTTTTCCACTGGGATCCCATATCTACCACAGCATCAATCTAAAGTTCCCCTTTTTGACATCTTGCAGAAATATTGATAAAATGCACTTTGTAACTACAAGTGTGTTCAGGTGTCGGCATGTGCACTATTGTACAGGTGTCATTTCTGCTCAGTGGTTTTGAGATTTGCATACAGAGGATGACTGTGCTGCACTGATAAGAGGTTTGATTTAATCAAGACATGGGAGTTAAAAGATGGCCAATGAAACATGAGAATACTGGAACTTTTTAGACACGCAGGTTTTTTTCCACTCACAGAAGATGTTTGCATCTGCACCTCGGCGTTATTCCACCTCAGTTACAACAGAGGGGCAGAGTGGACAGATACTTGTGGTAGGTGTTATCTTCTCTCTTGGCTCTGTGCCCTGTATTTTTACTATCAGACTCTTATAAGTCTGATAATTTGGTGTTTTTGCTGCTGGGTTGTACTAACTAACACTTTTGGCATTAACATTTAAGAACAGCAGGCTTCTTTGTTCTTTTCAGACTTATTTGGTCAGAAAACGTTCACCAGCTCTCGCTTTGGTTGTTCAATAATATTCCACCCCTCCCACACACTTTCAGTTACAACCTAAAATAAGCTTGTTGCCTTGGAAACATCATCCACACTAATGCGTGAATGCTCAAAGTCCATCTCCCATGCCCTAATGCCAGTCACAAGACTTCCCCCAACTGCTGCAGAGCCCTGCCATCTGGTGACACATCTCGGGAGAGACGCACAGAACTGCTGATCTCTGCTGTTTGTTGGAGGTGTTAGCATGCAGAAGTATTATGCTTAATGATGTAAGAGGCTGCCACTAAGAATAGCATGGGAGGAGTTACTCTGGTAAAAAAAATCCTGAAAGAAACTTTGTTTTGGAAGTCTAAATTAGAATAAGAGAAACTTGCTTTTGTCATAGTTTTTGAGGGTTAAAAACTACAGTTCAGGATTTATATCTTCACTCTTACTGTTTGACACACATGGACTGATAATTGAAGATGACAATATGAGCCTACCCAAATCAAAATACTTAGCAAAACCTGTGCTGACTTTCCAAACACTATCAAAATGGTTAGATTGCACAGAGGTCCAAGTAGAGGAGAACATACCAAAAACACCTCTGCACATTTTTAGTGCAGCATATTAAAAAGTATTTTTCTCGAGTTAACTCGGTTTTTGAATTTTAAAATAGATGTTTTCCTTTTGTGTCCTGCACATTACTGGGTCAGATCCTTTTAGGAATACTGCTTCAGTCCTGAAAATCACTGCAGTGAGAGCAGACAGTATGACTTGACTGAGTAACATACCCTTAAAGTTTGTTGCATTTTTAGGTATTTATCATCAGTGAGGAAATGATCTCAAACACATTTTCTTGGACCACCACTAATGCCAGACTTCACCTGACTGCATCAGAAGGATAAAAATAAAACTTAAGAACTTCCTGGATCACTTTCATCAAATACACTACATTTGGAAACTAACATACATAGATGTTACAGTTTAAGACTCGACTTGATCCTTCGCACAGGTTAGCCCTTTTATACATTTCCAGCTTTGATCAGTTTATGTACAAACTCATGTGGAGTAAAACATAATATTCAAGACTGCTCATACATTTCATGATTCTGACTGTGGAGTTTGGTCACATAAAACCTTTATTAGAACTTCAATTATATTTACAAGCTGGGTATACAAAATTCACTTTTAGAACAAAACATTTGAGAAATACTGTGAAAAGAAAAGGTCCTCATGTAGGGTGAGACTGAGGGTCGTGGGGTGGTTAACGGTAACAGACAAATTTAGCAATTTAGAACTTACAAAACGGATGTTTTCATGAATACAGGCTTTGTTGGTTTCTATTACAGAGAACGATCAAACTAAACTTCCTTCACATCAATCATTATGCTGCTGGAAGACAGAAAGGTCACAGATCCATCACCTGCTCTTTTAACAACTCATTCAGCTCTTATGTACAACATGGCTCACCTTGACTGCCACACGCTGCGAGGATTGAAACATCTCCAGAATATAACTAAGACACTAAAACTAAAAGGCAAGCCAGAGGAGACAATTCAGTCCTGAGGAAAAGGGAAGAGGTGGTGCAAGGAACTGCAGAGCCGAGAGGGGAGTACTACTGAGCTTCATCCTCCGGGCAGGCGTGCCATGTCAGCCTCTCCTCATAGAAAGAAATGACCACCTGAGGGCAGCGGGTGTTGGCCTCCCGGGCCGGGACCAGATCAGCTTCATCTGAGTCTTTCCTAAACAAGTTTGAGTGAGAAAGACGGGAAATGTTACAGCTAAAGCAGCTGTGCTACATTCATTCCAAATCCTTAATCCATCACATTAGGTTAGTGGTGACTCAAATGAAGAGAATTTGTGAGACTGCAGCAGCCAGATGTAGTTTGTTTATCCCTGATAGAGACATTAAAGCCAGAAAGTCACAAGGAAAAATCAACAAACTGATGGAATTATGAGGCTTGAAGTGAGCTCTTCAAAAACTCTTTGAACGTTCAGAAAGTTTCACAGAGCTCCACAAGGCCTCATAGTAGTTTACACATAACTTTCTTCAAGTAGAGGACTCGATAAAACATATGAGTCAAAGACAGTTTTCACTAACCATTTCATCAGGAACATCAGCTCCCCACTGCTGTCTGTCGCACCAATGATCCGTTCCGGTTCAAGGTTCCTGGCAAAACCACGAGGTTTCTCAGCCTGTAAGAGGTGAAAGCAAAGCACATAAGCATACAAAAGAACCTTGATTCATATTTATCAATTTTTTTATGATTCCTATTTGTTTAATACAGAGTGACAAAGCCGTTTGGTTTTTAAGTTTCAAACAGAACAATGCAAAAATATTTTTCGTCTGTGCCTTTGACTATTTTCTTTAAAGCACTTTTAATGGCTAAATTTCATGCAACTTACAGCTTCTCGTACAAGTGCATCAATGTTCCATCTACTCCTGTTACTATTGATACCATTATACTTTATTTCAAGTGTTTCTATTTTCATTTCAAAGCCGACATCCTGCCTCTGACAGATCCTACTGTTTCTTTTATCTTACACGTGTTTCAGTAACTATTGCTGTGCATGGCCTTGCCTCTCACACAGTTATAAACAGAATTAAAAATACACTGGATTACATAACATTATATCCAAGTCAAGTTCTCAGTTTCCTATTTATATTTTTACAGTTACTGCTCCAAAATCACTGTCACAGATCACTTTTGTATGAAGCCACCCTAATTTACTATATATGCCAGTAAGTCATCTCCTCTTTTTTCTTTATTTTGAAAACTATTCTACTGTTGGACTGCCACTGCTAATTTAAGTTCTGTACCCTCTTTTGCTGGTACAAAAGTCATATTTAGCATCATCTGAAACTTACCACATCTGTCTTCTTGGCACCTGTCTCAGGCTCATCTGTGGACGCCTTCCTCTTCATGGCAGCAGGCTTCTCCTTCACATTCTTCTGTGCCTCCAAAAATGCCGATATCAGCTCTGGACAGTCCAGGTTCTCCTCTGGCTCCCAGGTATTGTCTGCACTAAATCAGCAGGAAAAGGGACTCATCATTTACAACTCAAAACAACCTCTTAACGCCAACTTCCATTGTAACAGATGCAAGCTATGTGGTAAACTTTAAACCAGCTTTAAGACAAATTAAAAGCATCATCATGCAAGTCAAATGACTATAAACAAAAGCATAGCACAACCCCATACCAGGGAAGCACTTCCAGCTCAGCGGGGGCCAGGTGTCCCAGGCAACTCACTCTGTAAATCCTTTCCACTTCAGGTAGAACTCTACTTTCCCATTCACAATGCGCTGGTCGAGCACTTTTTCCACAACAAACTCCTCGGGTTCCTCCTGTGCCTCTGGAGTCTCCTTCTTACCCTTCACATTCTGTTTCTTCCCCATGCTGTGCACTAATGTGAAAAAATGAGAGAGGGAGACTTTAGCCAGCTTCAGTCAGGGGCATGAATGAACATTTACGCATGAAGCTGCTGCGCACCTCCAGGTAACATTAGAGGAAAAGACGCAGTGAAACATTTACAAGAAAAACCGTAAGACAATAATACAGCAGCATACAACGGCATTTATCCAAAACTAAACCGTGAACGGAATATATACGCTTTTGAACAACACATGTCGAAAACTAGCAATGTAAGATTAGCCTATGTGCTAACTCTAATGTTAGCAGGCCTGGCTGTATCTAGATTTCCTTAACACCTGTCATGCATCATGTGTATGGATGCATGTGCAAGAAAGCTCTTTAAAACACGAGTTAGTAGTGCAACTTCTAAGATCTACTATGGATAGAGTCATGCACGCCATTTTAAAGACTCAAAACCACCGTAAAAAGGCCCAATATTACGACTGATCACAAAGTACATGCTCAGACGTTTAGCTCCACTAGGGTTACCGTGCGTAAAAGCGCTACAGTTGCACAAAGAGCATACACCCATAGTGTACTCACACGAACAGGTTTCAATGCTGTAGCTAAGGTTTGTTAACAATGTTTTGGTAACGTTGTTTCTCACTCTTTCTGCTCAAACTGCGTTTCCTGCCTTGAAGTCCAAAATGATCAGACGCAGCTTCCGCCCGGTTGCTTTGGTGAAGCAAAAAAAATAATAATCTACCGTAAATTAGACCCAAAGGTGCGTTTGCAGTTACGTTTCTGCATACGTGGGATTGTAAGAAGAAAAATTGCTCCTCTGATGACACTTTACCACGCGGTCAACCTGAGCTTTATCTCTTGTCTGCAACACTGGGCGGGCGCCAAACGCCTGAGTCTTCTACGGTAGCCTGGGAGGCGAACGCGCTTCGCATTTTGCCATTGCGTCTGCTGCTACCGAGTCTGCAAAGTACTAATAAGAAAATTCATGACTTCAAAGCTTCTGTGAGGACTTTTTAGCTGGTTATAAAAAGGCATAAATAATAACTGATGCATCGTTGTGGTATCAGCTTTATGATTCAGCAATTTTATATTATTTCATTCACTGAACAGCCACAGGATACAATTAGAGGATATGGAGAGCATGCAGCAAAAACAGCAACGCTGCTGTAACAGGCACCTATAAGTTCACATTAAAATGTTTATACTGATACTATATAAAAAACATACAAATTGATTTATTTTAAATTTTTACGGTGGCCGAGAACTGCCCATGCTGCAAATAAAAAGGAATGGAAAAAAAGAAGCCACAATAGAAGTTACCAATGCAAAAAAAGAAAAAAAGAAACTGAAGCCTGCTGCAAATAAAAAAAAGAAACGGTGCATGTATATATATATATATATATATATATATATATATAAATATATAGATAGATAGATAGATAGATAGATAGATAGATAGAGCCACAACAGACGTTAACAACACAAATAAAAGTGGCGATGCAAAAAAAAAAAAAAGTTACTTACTTGAAAATAAAAGGATGCCTAGATTGTAGAACACCCGTGCATCACCATTATTGGTCTCCGGCAGCTCACTTCAGTTTAAAAAAAAAAAGTTTTATTTTCACAGTAAGTAACTTTTTTTAAATTCCATCGCCACTTTTTTTTTGTGTGTGTCGTCAACTTCTGTTATGCGTTATATATATATATATATATATATATATATATATCTGCACCGTTTCTTTTTTTATTTGCAGTGGGCTTCAGTTCCTTTTTTTTTTTATGTATTGGTAACTTCCGTTGTGCCTTTTTTTTTTTTGCATTCTATTTTATTTGCAGCAGTGGTAGTTCTCAGCCACCATAAAGTCTGCTCTGCTAAATGCTGCCAATGACAGGTATGCATCCATATATTTTTAGATTTTCTAAACATACCAAGTAAGTTCTGGTTGTTCTCTGTGCATTATCTCTTCTGTTTTCTCCTTCAAATTCACGGCTGCTTTTCAAATGATAATGTATTAATTTCTCCTATTATCTCAGCTTGTTTTCTTATGGTGATACGTCAAATGCTGCTCCTTTGAGATAAACGGAAAATTACCTGTATCATGGGAGATTGGAATAAATTACAATGCATGGACGCATGTCTGCTTACCTGTTTCTTCAGTAAAATAAAATGTAGAAATGTATGTCCACCTAGTTGTCTTAGGCTTCAGTGGATTTGAGCAAGTACCCAGTTATGAGTGCCAGTTATCCAAATGGGAAGCCCTGTTTAAAAGTGGCACAAGAATCAGACAGTCTTATTTGTTTTTCTTTTTTTTTTTTAATCAGAAAAAAACAATGTCTGCAAGTGCATTTCAAAACCCATAAGCAAAATCTTCTTATCATCATCCAGCAATCACCATGCAATCAAAAACATTTGCCCCCAGCAACAAAGAAAAACAGATGGAAATTTATACAAACAGCAAAGTAAACTTGGTCAAACCAAAAATTAAATACAAATTTTATGAGGGACTAACAAAAATAAAATTAAATGAGTCAAACTCTTCACTATTATGCAGGGTTCTCCACTCACTCACTTGCCTTCGTTTAAGTGGTGTGCATATGAATAAGATGCCAACTTATACGAATCGTTTCCTTCCAACTCCAAAAAAATTCAATTATATAAAAAGCAACATTTGAAACATTTTATCCTATTCTATGGATGTAGATTTTGTTCTTCATAAACCGCATTGTTTGGGTTGGATTTTAGGGCTGTTATAGTGAGAAAACTCTTGATTAAAGACTGCGGTTTAGTTCCCCTTAAAGGTTGTTTTTCTTTGCCGAAATCTTCAACAGGAACTAAATTGTGAGGTAGAATATAATCTTGAAACACCCTTAAATGATTGAATTCAAAGGGTTAAGCAAAACTGTGCTTAAAACAAATAAAAGTTTAATTTAAAGCATATTAGTCTGGGTTTTTTTTGTTGTGACAATGTGCACCTGTGAATCCTGTCAACACAGTATCCAAAACACTTCAATTCTGATTAAGGCCTTGTTAGTTTAATCATTGGTATATTTTATGTCATCAAGACATAAGGTAAACGACAAAATCTTATATTTCCATGAAATAGTACTTGCCCTCAATTATCTAAAAGGAATATGTAAACTTTAATTAGGTAATGTTCAAATTGAAACCTAACCTTGTGAACCAAGATGCTACTCTTGATGGTCCCAGGATGCAGATCAGCATTTCAGGAACACCTGACACTTAAATAAATATGAGGTTTTACCTCCTCCTTCTTCTGGGTGAGGGCAGGATTACATGGAAACAAACAAATAGAGGCCTACACCCAGATCTCCATCCACTAACTGTCGCAAAGATGGTCGTGTTGACTTTTCACATATCTGGCTGTTTATGCTTGTCTGTAAAAGGGAAAAACTCATGACCTTAAAGGTAACAGGCACAAAGAGAGAGACTGGTAACATTACCAGCAGCTCGGCTCTTCCCTTGAACCTCCCCGGGATGCTTTGTGCATTTTTATTGAGCAAAGAGTGTCCAGTGTGTAAGCTACATTTGTCCCATGAGAAGGTTTATTTACAGATATTATTCTTTTTTTTTTAATGTTCAAAGTATCTTTTCCTTTGCAGCTTTGCAGATTTAGGCTCCCAACAACGGTGAATCCACACCTACTTGAACAGAAGAGGAGATCCCAAAACCAGAGTCAGGTAGGTAAGTTCAGAGATACTCAAAAACCAAAGTCTAAGCTAGAAATACTGCATCACTGCTTCTTCTCCTTCTTTCTCTTGTCCGTTTTGTTGCCAGTAGATGTGGAGACAGCAGGTCGTCTCACTGGCTGAACTACAACCCTCCCGTTTGCCCCGCACTGCAGGGTGAATCTCTCTGGGTTCAGGGGCTGTCCTGCCTCATCCCTCAGCCGGGCCAGGACGTCTCTGGTCAGCTGCTTGATCTGCTGGCCCACAGCACCCATTGTCTTGGCCGTGAGCTGTTTCTCCCTCAGCAACCTGTTTCTTTGAGCATGCAACCTTTCCACTTCCTCCTGAAGCCCCGTGATGGCATCTAGTTTGCGCTTGCGGCAGTTCTGTGCAGCTAGTTTGTTCTTCCCTCGCCTGCGGATGTCCCTCAGGAGGGTCACCTGTTCAGAGGAGAAGCCGTGACCATCGAGGACTTCCAGAAACTCCTCCACTGGCATGTTGACAATCTGCAGGACGGAGTAAGGGATGCACATGGCGCGCGCTCGAAGCTCGTCGCGGCTCATTTCCCTCTCATCCGAAAGAGGTCCTTCATCGTCGCTGACAGGCTCTTCTTTGATCCCTTTGTGGGGAAATGTGACTGGTGGCGGGTTATAGAGAGCAGGAGAGGAGTAGCTGTGGTCATGCCACACATTCTCACTCAGATCAATGGGTGACCATGTTGTGGTGTAGTCTGTGGTGCCTTTAGTGGGGACTGAGTCCACCTCACTGCTGTAGCCTGTAGCTCCACACTCATCTTCACAGAAGGAACTGGACGATGAGGACATCTCTGACGAGCCTGCGTGAGTAAGAAGTCAGCCGTTGTATTAGTATGAATGTCAAGCTATGACTTAATTTTGTGTTACGTTTGTTTATACATTATTAAAGGAGATTTAAACCAACCTGGGGAGACTGGACCTCCAGAGCTGCTCTCTAGTGAGAGTCCAGAGTCAGAGTCTAAGTCCTCCAAGACCCGTGGGTCTATGCTCTCCAGACAGCCCATCAGCTGGGTGTCAATAGTGTCCAGGCCTTCCAAACCCAGCTGATTGATCTGATCAAACACTGCCTCATCCAGACAGCCACTCAGTGCACCACTTCCTGTTAAATCACAGACTGAGGCAAAGGGGAGAGCAGCCAGACCCAGTGCCATCCCTGGAGATGCATCTGAGTGTGAAGAGCCCGTCGATTCCAGTCGGAAGAAGGGCCTCCGTTGTTGGGGGGCTGGTCTGGGCTCAGCTCCTTCAGATGGCGCACCAAATGCTCCAGCACTTGTTACCATGGCATCGTGCAAGCTGACATCCTGGCTGATAGCGCTGGTGATGTCTGTGTCGATGTCTGACAGACGCCCAGTAACAAGGGAGTCCAAGTCCTGCATGAGATGTGCAAATGAACTGAAACTTGGTCTTTGCAGTTCTTGAAAGTATACCACAGCATGCTGATCACCACAAACACAAGATTGTTAAATCATTCTGATGGAGGCTCTTTGTTTAATAAGGTTGCTACTTAAAGGGATATACCGGCGTAAAACTAATTTATGGTCAAACACACCGTAACACCGAGTTAGACACCCCCTGAGAGATCAATGTTGCTTCTCTAGTTACATCAACTTAAGTTATGACCACATGACAGCAATACACAGCGGTCTGAGGAGCCACACACAAATCTCAATCAAAACGCCACTCTATAGCCACAATTAATGCCCAGAACAGCACCTAACTTCATCAACAGTACATATAGGGTCCCAGCCATAGCACTAGCCACCAAACATCTTTTTAGCTTTGCCTGATTTCTTTTGCAATGAGACTAAACACAACTCATCTACTCTCTTCCAGCAGCCGCTTGTTTGTAGTGAGACCTCAGGCCAGTCCATTACGGACTACAGCGGGGTGACGCAGCTCAAGGAAGAACATTCATGATCATTTCTTTACCATTTTCTTGAAGTAATAATCATCATATTAATTATTTTGCACTGCAGACACGGTAGTTCTTCTGCCTTCGCTTCTCAGTCTGATTCCATTTCCATGAAGAAATGATCATAAATGTTCTTCCTTGAGCTGCGTCACCCCAGAGCAGTCCATAATGGACTGGCTTGAGGTCTAGCTACAAACAAGCGGCTGCTGGAAGAGAGTAGGTGAGTTGTATTTAGTCTCTTTGCTAAAGAAATTAGGCAAAGTTAAAAAGATGTTTGATGGCTAGTACTATGGCTAGGACCCTATATGTACTGTTGATGAAGTTAGGTGCTGTTCTGAGCATTATTCGTGGCTATAGAGCTGCGCTTTGGTTGAGGTTTGTTTCTGGCTCGTCAGAGAGCTGTGTGTTGCTATTGTGCGGTCGTTACTAAACTTGGTATAACTAGAGAAGCAAGCAGTTGGCAACATTCATCTCTCAAGGGGGTGTCTAACTCAGTGTTAAGGTGTGTTTGACCCCAAATTAATTTTATGCCGGAATATCCCTTTAAAATCAAAGATTCGGAAATAGCTGATTCAGCTGCATTTTGTCTGTCCAATACTTGCACTTTTGGTTTCTTTTTGCAGTGATAGCTACATTAGAAATATGGTAGGCTAAATCTTATGAAATGAGTCCCAAGAAAACTTACATCGAGGTCTGTAACAGGCAGAGAGAGGAAATTGTTCCAATGCTGGTCAATGTCAGTCAAAGGAGGGTTGAGTGCAGTGATGCCTTCCAGCAGACTCTATAACAGGTACAAAAATCAAACACAGAATGGGCAGAGTTAGTGGTATGTTCTGTAGCACAAACTTTGGGAAAATGTCAAAGTCGTATGCAATAGGAATTTCAACACAAGTACTTCCATATGAGATAACTATAATTGTGCATCTACATCATCTTATTCGGTTTCATTATAACACAACTGTCATCAAACTGGGGAAAATTAACAGGCAGTCACCTCATGTTCTAGTGTAGAGCTGTGTGCCAGCTGAGTGAGTGGAGCCGGTTCTTCCTCCTCTTTAACTTTTGCATCACTCTCCTAATGGTGCAAACGCAGGCAGGCAGAGACACAGGGGGAACAAGAAGACACAAAAACAGTTAGCAGACTGACACCAAAGACCTTAAAAGACGATTTCATCTCAGGTTTGGTGACCCAAATCGTAGTTTTGCCGCAAATCTACAGGAAGGATCACTCTCCTGTCAGAGAAAGCTTTGTTAATGAGCGGGTGTTGTGACTTGAGGGGGAGCAGGGATCAGCTGGACGGATTACATTCAACTTTGACTTCTTTTGTCACCTTGTTAACTGTGGTCTCGACCCTCTGTGATAAATTTTAATGATTAGAAAATGTGCTTAGGTCCTGTTATTGAAGGAAAATCTGGGGTAATTACTCTCAATGACATCCTCACTGTGATAGAAGTTGTGAGACAAGCTCTGGTACACCAAGTACTGCGTCTAGGTCACCAGCTGTCTGTTAAAGATACAGGACTCTTTAGATCCTTACAAAGAGATAAAAACTTGTTTCTAAGCCTAGGTGATAACGAGGAACTATTCTCCTTCATTTAAGAAGAGAACGACAGCTGAAGATGTTTTTGCTACAGGCAAAAATATGACAAATTGTAGCTTACACCAGCCCAGATCTGTTTAACTCTGTCTGAGCTTGTCCACATGTACTTATGTAGCTTTGTTGGCTGTCTGAATGTAGATAGTTATTGATCTTTACTCTTAAAATATCGCAGCTGTAGTCCCTCATTATGTTCCAGAGCACCTTGTCCAAACAGTTTGACAACTAAGAACTTTGAAAAAAGAAGAAAAAAAAAAAGAATAAAAGATGTGTCAACAGCACATGATCTCTGTCAATAAGAACCCTGGGAGGCGGTTGTGTTCAAGTATGGACCACCGCTTTTGTGTAAGCAAACAGGTTGTGGGTCTAAGCCTCAATCCTCCAACTCTCAAGGCCCACAGCTGGCGGCTGAGTCTGAGAAAAAGGGGATATAGTTACACAAATGGCGACATCAACTGCCCTGAGGACACAACATAAACCAAGCAGCTGTTGCTACCCAGAGCTAGAAAAACTGGATCACTGACCGGATTGAATGCAAATGTGTGGGTGTGATTACAGCTTTAAAAACATAATAGCAGCAATAAATTACAGATGGCGGTTGCACATATTGTGGAGAAAACAAGTTTTCAATCAACAGTTTGTACTAAGAGGAAGTGAGAGGATCTTTTGGCAAATGCTTGAACAGCAGTGTGGTTACACTGGTCTCATTAGGGTTTTACATGTTTAAGTTAATTCTCCTGTGCTGACTCTTCAGAGGGGGCTTAATGTGACATGCTCTATAGCAGAGCGTGACAGGTGCAACAGACAGTGAACACTGGATGTACAAGTCTTTCCTGTTCACTGGTTTTATAAATTACATATTTAACCATCAAAGTTTGGTGTAAATAGTTACCACACTTCTACCTTGAATGGCAGTGCTCTAATCTAACTGGATATGAAGTTTATCTCTTAAGTAGAAAGTGTGATCCTGCAGTGATGGAGTCATTCAAAGTGAAAGTGAATGCACAAGTCAGGTTTTTTTCTCCAGCAAGTTATAAACTTCTGTGGGCTTGTTTCCTGGTTCAGCTGGAACCATAACTGTGTAATAAGTGACTGACAGGTCTGCCACCCATCATTGTATAACAGGGGCTGGTGCTGCTAGTTAGCTACTGATAGCATTAGCTGTCCTGTTGAGCATAAAGGAAGTTTTAACCCAGTTCACCAACTAAAATAATCCATTATTTTTGCATGCCTACCAACCTGATTACATCAAATATGTGACAATCCGAGTTTGTTTGACTTTGTGTTACTTCACACACACACACACACTTGCCTCTTTAATAAACCCGCAGGCTCCAGCGGTACAGGGCCCTTGTCCCAGTTCAGGGGTTGCTTGGCTCACATCTTGGCCTCTGTCTGGCAGGTGTTCCTCGTCACCTCTGGCCTCGTCCCCGGAGCTCTCTAACCCGGGGCTGGTGTCAGTGCTGTTGCTGGTTGAGGGCCCGCAGTCAGCCTTGTCAGTGGCGGACACTTGGTGCACCAGCCACGCGTTGAGCTGAGTGGGGAACCGCGGGGAACCGAGGTTTCTCACTTCCTCCAACAGCCGACGACTCGCAAAGTAGTAGTCCAATTCAGGACATTTCGGGTGAACACTGTACCCGTCAAGATTGTCTCTTAGACTGTGAAAGGGTGTCTGGGTGTAGGCTGAGCTAGGACCCAAGTTAATCTCTATGAGAGGCGAGTAGTAGCCGCTTAAATAGCTGTCGATGTCAACACGAACTCCAATCAAACTCAGTAAGATTGTTAACTGGATCAGCCCTTCTGACAGGTACTTTTTCGCGATGTGCATTTTCTAAATACTTTCAGAGCTGCATATAACTGTGAAATCCTGACCCAACAGTTCCTCTTTCCCGATCGGACAAAGGGAAAAGCCGAACAAAAGAGCACGCCTTCCCCTGTCAGACAAAGAGGTCCGCCTGTACCGGCGAAATCGTTGGATAGCTATGCTAGCTATTAGCACTTAGCCATCAGCTATAATTACCGGTTAACGGGAACCTCGTGGTACAAACATAGCGGAACAGTTAGCCTTCTTTCCCTCAAAATACGCGAGTAGCTCGTCTGTTGCACTTGCTATCGAAATGTTCCTGACGTTTCTAATTAAACAGAAAATGAAACATCTGAGAAGCTAAATGCTGTCAACGGAGGAGAGTGCTGCTACTGGGGAAACTTCGTTTCAAGATTTGCATGGCTGATCCTGATTGGACCGGAGTGTTAACCGCACCAGATTGTGATTGGACACTATCGGTGTCAGTTTTAGTTCTGACCAATGAGCGCAATGAATGATCGCAGTTCACTACCAGCCCCACCCCATTTACAACTGATGTATTATATAAATCAACTGGAGCACAAACAACTTAGATTTATCTCCTGAATCACTTCGATAATACGTGCCAAAATGTAGTCAGTGATAGATTGATGAAAATATCCTTGTTACAGTAATTTTTAACATCCAATATGAATCCAGCAGAATTTCTCACGAGCATGGACAGACAGCAGTCAGTTCCGGGACGTCTGTGCTACTGACCTGCATTTGTGCCTCTTGTGGCCTGCTGGTAAACGGCTGAACTGCAGCTTGAACCTGTTGAACTATAGCATGAAAACCCACTATAGAGGTGAAATGCATACGATGGGATCCCAGCTGGTGCACTCTTTCCCTGGTGTGTACCAAACAACAGTGGATTTCGGTGGATTAAGCGGCTCAACAGCGCATATAAGGTAGCTTTACCAGGACCAGCTTCATAGTTAAAATACTGCTCTACAAATACTACAATAACAATAAAACGCAATTTTACTTTTGGAGCTGAAAAGATACACTCAGTTTTTTTCTAATAACTTTCCCTTTTTATATAAAAATAATATATGCAGGATTTTTATTGGGATTTACGATAATAAATAAAGGCTCTATTTTTTTTGTACTTCTACTTTTCAATCAATCAATCAATCAATCAATCAATCAATCAATCAATCCATCAGTCTTTATTTATATAGCACTTTTCATACACAACATGTAGCACAAAGTGCTTTACACAGAAAAAAGTAATTAAAGACACAAAGAATATCTAAATCTACCGCCAACTCAAGATTAAAGGAATACCCAAATCTACCCCAGCCCGACCCCTCATTCCCACCCTATTATCTAATTGCAACAGAAACAGTATTAAAATGCATAAACTTAAAAAGGGCTTGAATTCATGGAAACAGGAATGTGTGCACTGAGGAAACGCCATTTTAAAACTCAAGATAAGGAAACACTGGAGGTTCAGGTGAACATCTAAAAACAAAGTAACATAGCATGAAATTTAAGAAATAATAAATAAGATGAAATAAAAACAACAGTAAAAGATACTAAAATAAGAGCACCAAAATAGCTCATTAAAAGACGATCCTGTGATTAAAACTAGAATAGATACATGCTAAAACACTTCAACGAAGTTAATGATATAAAATTTAGTTAAAAGCAAGACTAAAAAGGTACGTTTACAGTTTGCTTTTAAAATCATTAGGATTAGGTGCAGTCCTCAGGTCTTCAGGTAAGCTGTTCCATAGATGGGGGCCATACTAATGAAAAGATGCCTCGCCGTATGTCTTGGTTTTAACTTTAGGTAATGTTAACAGAGAACCTCCTGAGGACTCTACCTGGCTCATAAGGTAAAAGAAGATCAGATAGATAAGAAGGCCCAAAGCCATTAAGAGCTTTGAAAACCAATAAAGCAACCTTAAAATCTATTCTAAAAGATTAGATGTTCATTGATTAAATGCTTCCAATAAATTAAGCACTGTCTGTGATTTTATGGCTTTAAAAGATGGATTACCTCATTTTATCATCAGAATAGGCAATAACATTTTGTGTTATTACATATATGCAAAAACAGAAACTACTTAATAGATATAAAAGTGTAAATCCTCCTCACTATTAAACAGTTATGTCTGATCATTTTGTTGATTGTTTGACATGATCAGTTTCCCCTTTCACATTTTTATCAAATCAAAAAACCTCAAATCAAATTTTGATTATATAGCGCCAATTCACAACAGTCGTCATCCCAAGACACTTTCCAAAGAAAAAGAGCAGGTCTAGACCACACTCATTGTTTGATGAATTACCAAGACCCAACCTTAAGATGGGACAGATTTGGCCCATCTCATCTAACATGAGTGACAATGGCATGGAAAAACTTCCTTATTTATCCATTTATTCTCAGCTTAAACCTTTTATTAGAGTCTTCACTTTGGTCATATTAAGACTATGTAGTGTTTCTCTTGACCAGAAAGTTAGTATTCATGAAGCTTCCCCTAAAACTTTCTGAGATTGTCCCCTCCAGCTTGGTAACATTGGAAATGCATATATACAAGCTCCTGCAAAATGAACCCCTCCTGTCATCTCAAACACTGCTGCTCAGACAGAGTTGGACCTCCAGGATCTCTTTCAGTTCAGGCAAACATATGTTTGCTATTATCTTGTTATCCAGGGTTTCAACTCGCTTGGACCTGTGGTGTGATGTGGAGCGACCTTGTGGTGAAACAAAACAACAGCAAAAGAATACATACAGGATTAAAAACAGACACAGGTTGCACTAGTTGAAAACATTTATTGTGGAATCAGTACGATGAACACATTACTGGATAAAATATTCCTTTATGTATGTTAAACCAATACAAGTTAAACTCATTAAACATAATGCTATCAAAATTTTATTCAAGCGAGTAGGCAGATGTATCATCAGAAAGCGTAACAACAGCAAGTAAAAGTAGGTCTATTCATTATGAGAAGTTATGTAATCTCCATAAAGTCCTTATTATGGATGTTAAATAACTTACTACAATATAATGTCTAAACTGTATCAAGCTTTGTCATATTAAGACCAAATATTTGGCATATAAAACAGTAGAAATGGTAGAAATATCAATAGACTTATAGTAAACTTGACCCATTTAAATGGTCTTTTGTTGTGTTTTATGTTTATATAAAGTTCCAGTGAACACAGGGCTCAATTCAGTCTGACTAAGCTGTACTCATGCTTGGACAGTGATGTTTACTCACTTCTTCGTGCATTTGTCTTTTGTCAAGTAATTTTTTAAGTCAGTACTTTAGTTTTACTTTCTTCGTGAAGTATTGCACTTTGCAACATTTTTACATAGTATGAGTTACTGAGTAAAATTTCCTGCAAGCTTTAAATGACAGCCAGCTGATCAGATAACTACTCTCCAAAAAACCTCTACAAAATAACTCGTTACACCTAATTTGAGCTATATTGACATTAGAGGTCAAAATATAAATCTTATTCTAAGATACTTTATGCAAAAATCATCTTGATAAGTTCAAAAACATTTCGCTGCATACTGCATTTGCATCCATTTTTATCATGACAATTAGTTTAGTTCACACTCAAAGTCACCAAAGTAGACCTGTAGTCGATAGGCTGGAACTTGCTGAGGTAAAATACACGAGCGTTCTATAACAGGATTTCTTGCGACCCCTGCTGGTGAAAAAATAGAACAAATGGATACAGGGTTTGAAAATAAGAAAAAAGGTATATCAAAGCTCCTTTTTCAATTAAATAAGAAATATAATTACAAAAGGTGGCAGATATGTTGTAGCTAAATAAAAGCTTGGTTAACGGGAAAGCCTTGAGAGCAAGTTGGGTTTTTAACGTTTTGTCTTAAAGTTGGTTATTCCCTTTTTTCACAGCTAGACCGTGGAGAGTTTATAAGTAAATTTATATAAACTACGACGATAACAACTTGGAACATTTTTCGCTGTATGTATCGATTTTTACCACTCCAGTCAGAAAACAAAAAAAATAATAAAGTGTGCCGTAACATTAAGAAATATACGGTCATCATAACAACAATAAATGCAAAGTTGAGTGAGATGTGGGTTCAAATGTTTTGTTTTGTTTTGTATCTTATACACTGCACAGACCTCTCTTCGCCATAATAGTATGTGATCCTTTGGACTATAGTTAACTAGGTCCTATGGATGTAGGTTCATTAAAAATACAGGCTATAGAGTTACTTGTATCTTCTTATCCCAACAACAACAAATCAGTCCATCTCGGCACAAGTTCAACACACATTACCTCTGTCAGCTGGACTGTCTCACCAGCAGACAGCTGAGCCCTAAACGCACCACAAGCACAAATCAAGTGCATACAAGTCCGGCTGCTCGCAGGCTGATCTGTTGTGTGTTTCACCGAGGACTTCACTTGGCAACATAGACTACAAACCAAATTGACTGATGTTAAAAATTCACAGTAGATCGACTCTCTGCTTCGATATTAGACACTGAAACGTTCATCTCAGAAAGAAATGCTTTAGATGAGTCTGAAGCTGTTTATGTGCTACACCAGAGTCTCGCAAAGCTACAATAACTCCCCCCTTAAATATAACAAGTGACATTTGCGGTCCGCCCCATGCTGGCTTTACACATGGGCAAATCCAGAATCTAAAGGCTCCAAATCGCGGCGCTTTAAAAAAGCTGTGAAGAGTAATCTGCTCCGTGTGATGTGACGCCAGCACGCAGTCATCAGATTAATCCACAAGTATTTTCATAACGATGTGAAACACATTTAAATCAACTTTGTGAAGTTCTGACAGATTTATTAGGGGCGAGCTCTTAAATCACCCCCACCTATTCCTCTTAGGGCGACGCTGATTGGACGGATTATACGCGTCGTGTTGGAGACGAAAGCGCATGCGCTTCTTATTTTGGACCCGCAAGGGCTTCTGGGAGAGCTGAGGGGGAATCGAGGTGATAATAGTGTCGTGTTTTTCTTGGTTTTCAGTGCTTTTCGTCTTGGTATGACAGTCTAAACTGAACAAACAGGTCACTGTGCTTTTTGGGTAGAGTTAGGATCATTACTATAAACAATACAAGTCAATTCTGTTTGTCTTAAGAAACTATCTCAGCTTAATTTAATTTCCTAAACAAACTTTTATGACCAGATTTTTTTTTGGCAGGAGAATGAGCAGTTCCTCCTCTTATTAGATCTGGATTTTCTATATTTATATTTATAAATAAATAAGGTCTTATTATCTGAAGCCTTGCAGACATTTAGTAGTATTATTACAAAGCAGAATTGGTAACTGGTTAAAACACATAATCTTGTTTTTAAAAACAAAAACACCTAAGTACTGTGCAAAGTCAAATAAAAGTTTTTACTTATGACTTGAAAATTATCAAATTAATATAAATGCTTTAGAACAAAACGTGGGTTTAAAAAAATAATACAGCAAAATTATAATCTACTATCTCGTACAAAAACGAGCACTATTTAAGCTTGAAAGCCAACAATTGCTTTAAAACAAAACCCAGTTTATTGGTTATAAAAAATAAAATTATAAAATACTGTGAACACACAATATATGATAATTCCCCCCTCCTCTCTTCATACCATTATTTATATTGTAAATAAAATATATCACACATCCTGGTGTAAATGTCTGGTCAATTCTTAAATATTTTTTTTATTAGCTAGAACATAATAGAAATGTTTCTTCTGTTTAATACATAACCTGGGTTATTTAAATTGGCTATTCCAAGAGTATGAAAATAAGCCTATTTAACTTCAATTTAAAAAATGTTTAAATAAATTTATCTTCTCTTTTTATGAATTATAAAGGTGTTTTAATTGTTCAGTGCTGTGTCTGCGACATGCTGCTTCAAGTGTGTGTGTTAGTGTGTGTGTGTGTGTGTGTGTGTGTGTGTGTGTGTGTGTGTGTGTGTGTGTGAGAGAGAGCTTCTTTCTCCAGCGGAGCTCTGTCCTCCAGAGAGGAAAACAACAGACTGGTCGCTCTCAGCCTCCAGACCCCTCCACTGCTTGATTGACATCCACTCTCAGCCAATCAAAGAACGAACCACCATCTGGCATTCTTATTGGCTCGCAGTCATCGCTTTCGACAACCCCCGCTAGCCAATCACAGCACGTATATCCACATAAAACTTAATATAGCCGTCTTGGCAGACTCTGTGGCGCCCCGCAGCGGAGGCATATGGAAGCAATTTCAGTGTGGGCTTTCTCTCTGCAAATTGAGCTGTAATAATGAAAAATGTTCTCTTCGGGGCTTTATTTCCTTTCCTTTCAATGCAGGTTTTGTTTTAATGCTGATGGACTGTGCAGACTTCTTCTGCGTTATGTCTTGGACTTGTCTGCAGAACATTGAGTGCTTTGTTTCTGTCCACTTAACAGCGACTTTGCTTCACTCCAGCTGCGGTAATACATCTCCTTATGACAGAAATGAAGAAATGCTGGTTTTATTATCCAAACTTGATTCCCCAGGACTCAATAATTCACAACTTGTATGCTTCCTTTGAGTTTGAAACGTTTGATGCAATTTTGCATTTTGTCCTAACAATCTATCACAGACCACAAGAGGGTGCTACTGTATTTGTTTTTCTTCTTCCTTGGATTGGCCTGAACTTAAAGATTTAGCATCTCTCAGGGCTGACTTTTTTAAAATGTTCACCTCTATGTGTCTGAATTGCTTCGATATAATCCTAAAACACCTCTGCATGAATGAAGAAGTATCAAAATTGCTTCAATCCACACTCATATTGTAAAGCTCTTCCTCACTTTGTCCTCCCTCCTTCCCTTTCTCTCACCACATCTCTGAGTCCAGAGGCAAAGGAGGCCAGCAGTGGGGCGAAGTGCTGACAGTTTAGGAAAAAACAAAGAAAAAACATCCAGAGAAGCAGTGGAGGATTTGATGTCATAGACTCTG